ATTGAACCGGTTGTGATGTCTCTAGCTTTTGAGCAGCAGGCTTCTTTTTACGAAACAAAAATAGCGCGATTCCTCCAACTACTAAACTGCCTGAAAATAAATTTCTGTTTTCTGTGTAAAGATTTCCCAAGTTTAACTTACTTCCGAGCTTTGCTCCAGGTTCTGACTCTGCGATTTTCATTTTGGAGAGTTGTTGTTTCATTTTCTTGTTGTGATTGGCTAATCTTTCACCTTGTTCTACTCGCTTTCGGTTTTTACTCTTGGTTACAGTTTGCATCTGTGTCTTAGCTGGACTATTGGCTGGTGCTGGAGTCGCTGCTTGTGATACTTGTTCTTCCGTTGACATCTTCTTTTATAATAGACTGATTTTTGTTGATAGCTAAATGTTTCGTTGTAATTAACGTTGCTACCAGAGGTGATACGTAAACCCCGTATTTATAACAGAGCTCGCTCAGGAAGTGACCCATCTTTTAACTAAAAAGCGGTTCTGCGGGAGAAATTGTGTCGATCTCTTTCACGGTGTGTTCTTTGCCTAGGTATTTCTTAGACTCACCCGATGCTACAACTGAACAGAGTCTGTCTTTGACGTTGGGCTTGAGTTCTGTGGTTTGTTCAGATTCGCTTTTAACTTTTGAATCGGCGAGTATACTTTTAAGTCGTCCATTTTAACCTTCGGCCGCGTGGTATATGGATACAAACATACTACATTATTCAGTGTTCCGATTGCACTCGTGTGATAAATAAAATCGTTGGGGTGTAGTGATGGCAGTATTATACATGGAATACTTATTTCATTTACTGTGGCACAAATTTGTGCCGGTAATTTAGGGGGTTGGGTGGGGTGGAGAGGGGACTTGTGTGTGTGTGGGAGGGGGTGACTTGCCCGGCCCTGGAAATTTTAAACGTCGTATGCTACGATATGGTGTACTAGTAAGGCCACATTACGTTGCACAAAGCATGTTGTTGACAGCATGGAAAGTGTTTTTTCACAGCGCAGGGAGAGTTGTTTCACGGTGCAGTGAGAGTTGTTTGGCAGCATGCTAGGTGTTGTTACGCAGCAGAGTGAGTGTCATTTACAGGTACGATGAAAAATTCTTCTGGTGTTCCCTCTTATCTGGTGATAGGCTCCAATTTTACGATTTTTGAGGTCATCTATTCATTTTGTAGCCTGAATGTTGGCTATTGAAAGCTTACAGCTTCCAGAACCCTTGGAGAGGAAAAAATAACGTGCATTAGAATTTTGCTGTCCTTTGCCTCTTTTAAAGTAGACAGCAGACAGGCAGCAGACAAGAACCCTCATGAAATTGAGAAGAATCGACCCAGTCAAAAGTTTGAAGCTATAGTAAAGAACGAGGCCATAATCTTTCAAGGGGTCACCAGGCGGTGCTATTTCTAGCGTTTTTACGCTGGGACGTTCTCTGATGTGAGCCCTTATTGGTGTAATCTTAACTACACACTGCTAAACGACACTCAATGAGCAGCCAAACAACACTCCTCAGAGTGTAACAACACTCGGCGCGTTGTGAAACAACGTTTACAACGTTGTACAATGAAACAAGACTTACCACTTTGTGTAACATCACTCATCGCCCTGCCTAATGTGGGCTTAATAGTCACCATAGCTTGGTGCCTCCAGTGATGGCGCACAGTAGCTCGTTAATTACCCTGTGTCTCACCTCGACAAAAAAGTGCAGAAACCTTCTTGGACAAGGCTATGCTAGGCCACATTTTGAATACAAGCGTTTCGCAATAGTGTGCCTCCAAGAGTTTGCAACGCGTTGACCAATCACAGTGCAGGAAATATATCGACCGTGCTTGGAAAAGATTGACAGATTTTACCCATGGTGATTGGTCAACGCCTTGCAAACTCTTGGAGGCGCACTATAGATCCTATTTACTTGGAGGCCATTTTTTATTTTATTCCCCGAATCTGTTTTACATATTGCAAACTGTCGATTAGGACGGCACCAGACAGTTTTATACTTCCATGCGTTCCAAACCTCCCTTTCAATATTTTTCAGGATCTGGCAATGGCAATTCTATGTGTTCAATAATGAATTTAAAATTATTCATCAGAGTAGACAGGTGCAAATTTGTCGTGAAATTTCATTTTATTGTTTCATTTGTTCTCTCAACATTCAAAAATGAAGAGTTAACCTCGCTTTCAAATTCATTATGGCTGGCCCCGTGAATAAAGTCTATTGTGAATCACGCGTATTGCAAAGGGTGGGGCCATATTTAATTTTGTTGGTTTGTTTATATTTGTTATATGTGCATTTGTATATTAGTTTTAAAGAGTAATATTGGTTTTGTCTCTTTTACCCCAATGGCCGTCCAAATAAGTGCACCGTCTTGCGGGTATGCAGCAGCAAAAAGGGGTTGACTATAAGTGAAATTGACAGTCCTTCGGTGTAAACCTGAGAGATCATAAGTAGACCTAGAGGGGACGACGGTTGCGTATAATTGTCCCAATATGCACGGACATCTTGGAACTCGTCACGCCGACGCGTATGCATGAAACGCACACGAGCGCATGAGACGTAACGTGAATAGAGTACCGAAGTGTGATGTCACTGTGAAACAGAAAGTTCAGTGCAAACGAATGGAGTACGCGCGTGTGTTGGTTCACGCGCTGGTTCTAGCGCTAATACCTTTTATACCACTAATTGTGCGCGTGAGGTATTCACTTCGGTAATCTAGTGACGACCAGTCTTTTACCTCACGCACCGCGTGCACCCATCCTATCTCCTGTCTTCAAGCGTTCAAAAAGCGGCATTTCGCAAAATATTATTGCAAAAAACATATTGCCACAACGTTTTCCGTTATTTTTTAAATGAAGTTTTCTGTCACGGATCCAGTACTCATAAGCATTGGTGATAATGTTGAATTTGACTATAGTTTAAAACTGCCAGTTTTTAAACTACGTTAGCGCCACCTGTTGGTCTTTTGAAAACAAACTCGGCACAACGAACATGAAGGTTTCGATGCGCATGAGAGTGGGCGGCTTGATATTTGAGTAGGTGTTTGGGTGGTGTCTGGGTGGAGCTTAGACCAATGTGCGAGTTTCTAGATCTTGAAATTTAAACCATTTCTAAGTTTCTCTAAACTATTACTGTGCCATCGGTATTCCAATACAACAGGGTAATTTTCCCCGACAGGCCAAAGTTAGAGCGCTTTCTCAAGGTGCTGCGTGCTCTTGCAGAGCCTAGCTATCAACCGACCTGTTTTTGTTTAATAAAGTAAAGAAATCAAAATCGTCGAAATTGGACCAGAGGAATATATCAACTGCTGATCAGCAAGGGCGCAACCAAGAATTTAAAACAATAACAAAAAACAGAAAACACGGCGATGACCAATGCAATGTACACACATCTCATTACCGGGTATCTGAGGCGACGAGGGGGGGGTCCAAGTCGAGAATGGCTAGATCCCTTCCTCGACTCTGTGGACTGTGTGTGCATTCCTTCACTACCGGTAGCCCCTGGTAGTGTATGATGACGCTGACCAGCTATTCAGGATAAATACACATAACCGTAAGTGAATCGCATGCGTATTTCAAAAGCTACACGCTCGTTCCCCTGTATTTTCCTACACGTCATGCATGCGTAAATCTGCGTCGCGCGTAAAAACACTTTTACTAAAGTCCCAATTCGCCCCATAGACATATAAACACATAGACCACCAGTTTTGCACGTTTAACAGTGATTTTCAAAAGCCCGGGCAAGCAGTGGGCGAAACAATAAATGGCAGCGCGTTCAATGCAAATTGCGCGTGACGCACTTAGCTATAGATTGCATGCATTTGTTTACCTGTGCTCTAAAAAACGCTCCTTTTTAACTCGTTTGCACGGCTATCTCTTCTTTTCAAATGTTGCAACCACAATGATTCGAATCTGCGTGGAACAAATTAAGTAAACAGAGGATTTTTTTTTAACAATCGGAAAATGGCTTCATAGCATTTTATGGCTGGAATTCTTCAACCATGTGTAAATCCCTAAACCGAGGGTGAATTTGCCCACGCTTTTGTATTCAGTCGGGTGCCGTCTCGGCTACGGTACCCCGCCGTTGTTTTGAATAAGAGCTGTGTATGTCTGTGATGCGGCCCGAGCTGAACTGCACCCCCAATCGGCAAAAGAAAGACAGGTGGTTAAAAGTGGGTCCTTGCAGACGTTCTGCGTGTACGTAAAAACCATACATGACGGAATAAATTAGTTATTCGTACTCAACGTCCTCCGTGTCAAACGTGCATATGGGTGCATTCCACCAAATGGTTGTATTTCTGCGCGCGAGCTCGTTAATATTTTGTGATCCCACGGGTTTTTTATAATGAGACAGGCCATAATCAGGAGATATCATAGAACTATTTCTATAAATATCAAATTTAGGACTGATAGCCTCCAGTTCAGGGTATTTCTTTCACAAAACGCCCGAAACTGCGGACCTATTTTGGATAGAAGTGGGGGATACATTCAGAAAAAAGCGCTTAGTTTTATTGCTATTTGGGGGTATCTTCGTTCAAAGGCGAATAAAAAAATTTTTTCGTGGCTAGCCCCATGAAATTCAAACGAAAAGTGATCTTCTGGCCATAATCTTGAATTTCCAGGGGAAAAACGGTGGCCAACCTCTTCTCGAGAGTCAACAGGCGGCGCTATTTCGGTCCGATTTTGCACTTTTTTCTATGGGCGCGTTTGGTGTAGTGCTACCATATACTTTTGCGCCTTACGGCGCACCTATGCGATGAGTACCAAGATAGCACGCCCTTTGTTCCTCTTGGAGCGGGTATATGTCTGTGGGTATATCCCAAATAGTAGGATATTTAAATTATACAATACCAGTGGTAAATCAAACAAGACATGGTGGAAACCAACATGGGAACAAGGTTGGCCTTGCCCCTCTAGCCTTACTGCTTATGGTTTGTTATAATGGTGCTTTCAGCTACTGTACTCAGGCTATTTGCACCAATAACTATACGTTTATTCATNCATGTGTACATGTAAACAAATCCTTAGGAACTTGACTTTGATGTGCACTAGTTCTAGGTGGTTTTGGTTTAAGCTCCGACATGTAATGACGAAGGCGGTCGACATAACTGGTTGGGTCTAGACTTTCTACATTTTTGACTGGAACGAGTAATTCGCCAGGGAGTCGAAGAGTGGAACCATAAACCAGCTCTGCGGCACTACATCCTAAGTCAGCTTTAAACGATGAGCGAAGACTAAGTAGAATAAGTGGTAATGATTCTGTCCACTTGTTAGGTTCCCTTTGAGCTTTTAATGCTGACTTGAGGGTTCGATGAAATCGTTCCACTAATCCGTTTGCAACGGGGTGGTAAGCAGTTGTACGAATGTGTTTGGTGCCAAGAAGGTGCGATAGATGTTTGAAAAGGTTTGACTCAAACTGGCTACCTCTATCAGTTGTTATAGTTGTAGGCACTCCAAATCTGGCTATCCAATTGTCAACAAAGGCTTTTGCGACTGTTTCAGCTACAATATTAGAAATTGGTATTGCCTCAGGCCACCTTGTAAATCGATCTATGCAAGTAAGCAAGTAAGAAAAACCATGAGACGAAGGAAGAGGGCCAACTAAATCTATATGTACTTGGCTAAAACGAGCGTCAGGGGTTGCGAAAGTACCTATCGGTGTCACTGTGTGACGCTGTACTTTTGCACGCTGACATTGAATGCATTGCCTGGTCCAATTCCGAACATCTTGATTAATGGATGGCCATACAAATCTCTCAGTGATTAGACGTTGTGTGGCCCGAATACCTGGATGGGATAGCTCATGTAAAGAGTGAAAAATGTCACGCCTAAATTCTTTTGGAATATACGCACGTAGTCTACCAGTTGATGTATCACAGATAATGGTATTCTGCGATACGAGTATAGGTAGTTCTTCAAAATGAAGACTAGACGATTTGCGAAGCTTTGCTAGTTCTGGATCTGTCTTCTGTTTGATTGCAATTTGGTCAAAATCAATAAAATCGCTGGTTTGACAAACGCAGTGGAAGAAATTGACATCATACCTTGAAAGTGCGTCAGCGACAACATTTTCTGAGCCTTTTATGTGGCGTACGTCAGTACTGAACTGAGAGATGTAGTCTAAGTGCCGAATTTCTCTCGGTGAGTAGCGATCTGGCTTCGATTTGAATGCATACGTTAGAGGTTTGTGATCAGTCAAGATGAAAAAGTCGCGACCTTCTAAATAATATCTAAAGTGGCGAATTGCTAAATATACAGCCAGCAACTCGCGACCAAACGTACTGTATCTAGTCTCTGCTGGTTGTAAACGTTTAGAGAAAAACGAGATTGGTTTCATCTGACCATCAACGTATTGATTAAGTACACCTCCAACTGCCTTGTTTGATGCGTCCACCATTAAACAAAGAGGAGCGTCTGCAAGTGGGTGAACGAGCAAAGTGTGTTGAGCTAGAGCGGATTTAGCTTTGTCAAAGGCAAGTAACTCTCCTTCCGACAGTTCAATTACTTTGTCCTTTCTTTTACACGAAAGGAGGTCCGTCAATGGTTGTAAAATGTCGGCGCAGTGTGGAATGAAACGCCTGTAAAAATTGATCAATCCCAAAAACTCTCGTAGTTTACGAAGCGAGGTCGGAACAGGAAAGTCTTGTATGACTTCAACTTTACTCTCCAAAGGTCTAATACCGTTGGAGTCGATAGTGTGGCCAAGAAATTCAAGGCTAGAAACACCGAACTCACACTTGCTAGGATTGACAACGACACCATATTCGCGAAGGCGGTCAAAAAGTAGCTTTAGATGTTGCTCATGTTGTTCTGCATCATCACTTGCTATCAGTAAATCATCGATATATGCGTAAACGAAGTCAAGACCATGCAAGACTTGGTCGATGAATCTCTGGAAAGTTTGGGCTGCATTCCTTAAACCAAAGGGCATCCGAATATATTCAAAAAGGCCAAAAGGTGTGATGATGGCCGTTTTAGGAATGTCTTCAGGTGCAATAGGTATTTGATGGTAAGCTTTAACTAGATCAATTTTGCTAAAGATAGTCTTACCATGTAAATTCGTCGAAAAATCGTGGATATGCGGAATAGGGTATCTATCAGGTACCGTGATATTGTTTAAGGCACGATAATCGCCACAAGGCCTCCAATCACCTGATTTTTTGGGCGCCATGTGCAATGGTGAAGACCACTGACTATCTGATGGGCGAATAATTCCTAATTCCAACATATGATCAAATTCGGCTTTTGCTGCTGGCAATTTATTTGCTGCTAGTCGTCTAGGTCGAGCATTGACTGGTTGTCCAGTAGTTTTTATCTGATGAGTGACGTTGTGCTTGATAGAACTTTCCTTATAATTTGGCCTAGTTATTTCTGGATATTGACTGAGCAAGGAAGTGTAAGCATTGTCACTGTTAGGCATAGCGAATACTGGGCCTGGTGAGTTTACAGACGTTACATTGCCGTTAACAGTGAGATTAGTCTGTGAATCAATCAATCGGCGGTTTTTAACATCTACCACTAGAGAAAAATGTCTAAGAAAATCGGCGCCAATAATCGGCACAGGTACAGCGGCGATAATGAAAATCCATTTTAAATCGCGCCTTAATCCGAAATTCAGTGTCATAGATCTCTCTCCGTAAGTGGTGATGAGGGTCTTATTAACCGCTTGCAATGTATACGAACTACTGTTGCGCTTATCACTATTGGTTGGTGGAATAACACTAACTTCAGCGCCAGTGTCAACAAGAAATCTGGTACCAGTAATTTTGTCTGTAACATAGAATAGACGACTTTTTGTTTTGCCAGTCGAACCCGCCGTCCCTAGTTGCTGGCTTTCTAGTTTTCCTGATTTGTCGCCTTAGATTTAGTCTCAGAATAAGAACAAGGTTTGACACATTTGGTTGCTTTGTCCCCAAATCGCCAATGGTACCAGCAATCGGAACCAGCACGCGGTACGCTTTTGGACTTGGAAGGACTTCTGCGATCATCGATACTCTTATTTTTAGTGCGTTCTCTACTACGCCCCCGGCTAAAGTCACGTTTGCCTTTACTTGTACCTTTCATGACCAGTTCATGAACAAGAGTCGTTAAATCGCTAACCTGACTTTGCAGTTCATCTATGCGTTTTTCTAGTGATTTAGATGAAGAGACTGCGTTTACTGTTGTAGAAGTTACTACAGTGGGCGGAGATGCAACTTCCAAAATTTTATCGGCAATAATTGCCAACTGCTCTAGGTCCACGGTATCACTAGAGGATGCCAAAATAAGTTGCACATTTTGTGGCAACCGTTGGAGAAATAATTGTCTTAAGATTCTTTCTTCAAGAGTATTTTCTCCTAGTAGTTGCTTCATACGGCGAAGAAGCTGTGACGGCTTTCTATCACCAAGTTCCTCGGAGATTAACAGTTGATGGAGCCGTTTTTGTTCTGACTCTGATGTTCTTTTAATTAGTTCCATTTTCAATTTGTCGTACTGATCAACTGTTGGAGGGCTAATCAACAGGTCCCTAACCTCTTGAGCAATCTCCGGTTGAAGTGAGGACACAACATAAGCAAATTTTGTTGCTTGAGTTGTAATTTGGCGAGTTTGGAATTGCGCGTCTACTTGTGCAAACCATATGGTAGGGTCATGAGGCCAAAAGGGTGGCAATTTAAGACTCACCGCAGATAAGGGTGCAACTACCTCGGGTGGTGTGGCCATCATGCCAACAAACAGGATAATATATACAAAGTATTTACAAACTGTGGAAGATTTCCCTAATTCTTTATACTGAAGAATTACTTCTAAGTTGGCGATCAAAAGCAAAGGATCTACACATTTCAATGAACCAACGCTGTTTTAGTTTCGAGTCACCGTGTAGACCGTCGTACAGATGAGCAAAATGATTTCTTACAACTCTTGTGGTTTTGCCACGACGAGTTCTCTTTGCAGTCTTCCGAACAGAATTATGCCAAGACAGTGTTCGTAAAGTAACTCCGTGCTGTTCGACCAGATTGTGTTTAATTATTCGATTATTTACATCATCTAAGATTGCNGATCTACGGTATGAATCCACCACATTTGCGGTCATACGTTTGTGTGCGTTTGACGCGGGACACGCTGAGCACGAGCAACGAATTTATTCTGGAATCCGGTTCATAGGCCTATGTGACTTTGGCATACATGAGTACGCGCTATGATTTGAAGGCTCTCATTGGACAGTCCCTGAATTTACGCTTTAACGTCCGGTTCCATGGTAAACGGCGATCAATGCATGTAACTCTATGTTCAGTGTGCAGTGGGCGTGGTTTTCGCCGGCGAGGGTGCACTTCAACTCTGGGCGGTTGAGTTACGCCGCCGCGGTCGCATGGCAGTAAGTTGGGCCTTGGGAAAATATTAATAATTTTACTTTGACTCTTTCACAACAAAGGTATACGGTTAACAATCCAATGATTCTGTTTACACCCAGGACTGGGTTGCCGATAAATCCGTCTTACATACCTGAGCGTGTCATGCAACTTACTGACAGAATGACATTTCTTCAGCGACTCAAAAACGTCTTAGGTCACTACTATCAAACCATCGTGCATTTTCATCTGGGTGTCGCTAGCTTCGTTGGTTACGATAAGTTGAAGGTCAAGTATAACATCAAGCCGGAGGTCAGCACCCTAGAGTCATACAAGCAAGCTTTGCTGTACTTTATGCACGGGAGCTTCGGACTGGAATTTCCTCGACCTTTGCAGCCCAATATAAAGTATGTTCTCTACAATGCTGGATCGAACCCCAATCAAGCGGTAAGTGACCAGCAGCAACTTTCCGAACGCCTCTTGTGACACGGGCTAAAATCAAACACAGGTGATAAACTTGGTAACATAAAATATGACGCCCAGTCGATTTTTTTCTGGAGGAATTAATTAATAGTTAAACATTGATTTGTAAAATTATTAACATTTTTGTCAACTTAATTTAATATGTTAGAAGCTAGCGAATTGGAAACAATTTAAGAAATCGGACTTAGGGGGCTAAGGAAGGGGGAAGCTGTTCTTGCAACTATTCGTTGGGAACTTGATTATAATGAGTATGGGTATATTTGTAATGAGTACGTCTATGCTTCAATCTCCCACCATGGCCAGTGCCCGCTTTTGAAGCTTGAATTTTATTCAAAGAAATGAAAGACTTTAATTCTTGGGGGGTGTTCAACTGTGTTACAGCCAAATTTCCCCCCTTTCATGGGTCATCTCAACTACCGAACGAACAGTTGACCCAGACAAGACACGTCCTTGGTATAGACTTGGGTTGTCAAGATTTTGACGCACGCGCATGCCATGTCAGAATTGTCATGATCCTTATGGTACTTTGCCAAACTTTCCAGATGGACGAGGAAGTTGCTAAGTTCCTGGATACTGCACCAGATGGAGTAGTGCTGTTCTCCCTTGGTTCTAACTTGAGGATACTAGGGAAGGAAGGCCGAATCTTCGCAGACGCCTTTGCTTCCCTCCCGTTTCGTGTGCTGTGGCAGTCAAATACAAATCTGACGGGACTTCAGCTAGGAAACAACACAATGGTTGCCAGATGGTTGCCGATGATAAAAGTCATGGGTACATGTATATATTGATCAGTGTGTTATCTTTAAATAGAGGGCAATCCTCAAAACGACTGACTGAAAGCGTCATCATATATTACTTTATACATACCATAAAGAGGACAGCTGATGGGGTAAACTTTAAAACATGGGATGGACCATCCAATTCACTACGTTGATGCAGAAGTTCCCATTCCCAATCGACGAGGCGGGCCGGAGGAAGCATTGCTGGTTCACGTCTCGCGCACTGCTTGTTTAAATGATGAATGCAAATACCGGAACGGCATAATGGTGTAATATACCTAGCACCACTGAGTCTGCAGTATTGGCCCAAAGAGCGGTGCCTCATGCACCTACCATTTTCTCTCTAAGTATTTCCTCATTACTACTTTCGTCAGTTTCTGAAAAGCTCAAATTTTGCAGTCTTTGGGTCTTTATTGAAATCTTCACGATGACTTGTTCACGTTTGTTTTTTAACAGAACATGTCAATGTCCGTGCGTACGTCTCCCATGCTGCCTCTTTCAGCACAAATGAGGCAATGTGGACAGGGTTGCCTATGGTGGGTATACCGTTTTATGAGGACCAGATGGATTTCATGGTCCGTGTAGAGGCACGAGGCGCCGGTCTCACGTTGGACATCAATGGCCTCACATCAGAGACTCTGAGCCGAGCCATTCGTAGAGTCATGACCGAGCCTGGGTAAGAACGGGCGCAGTAAGGACTCAATTGCATCTACCCTCGGGGATGATTAATCCGCGAGTGTTATACAACAGTCCCGTAACGTCGTCATATTTTATAGGTTTAAGCGAGCATACACGATATGTGGAAATAAACGAATGCTCTCCAATTTGGGTTACCAATGAGCTATAACTCGGTTATACTATAAGGCCAGACGAATTTTTAAGACGAATTTGAACTGTCAAAAACAGCGGACGTATCTACACACACATATGGCCTTTAACTTTCTATGGCAATGTATTATGGTGCACTGACCATCTTGCTTTGGTAGCTTACTGACAAACATGTATCACCTTGGGAAATATAATCACATTGTAAAAGTTGCACTAATAGGGCTTCATAGACGTCCATGGATAAATCACTTCGGCTTATGAATATTCATCAGGATATATTGCAGCTACGTGCAAACCAGGAGAGGGCAGAATTCTAGAAGGTACAAAGATGGCGCTTATTGCACTTTACAAGTAAACCATTTATTTATTGTTTTCTTTTATCGCACTGGATGGCGAATATTTTGAAACTCCTTTTGAATAACCTGTTTTAAAACTTCGTTTTAGATTCCCTAAAAACGCAGAACGCGTCTCTAAGATCATGCGTGACCTTCAGAACACAGAGAGACCGGTAGACAACGTGGCTCGCTGGATCCTACACGTCACCAAGTTTGGCGGCAATCATTTACGACCAACAGTCATGGATCTCAATTTTGTTCAGAGAAATCTCCTAGATGTCTATCTCTTCATTGGTCTAGTTCTGGCATCGGTTATCATGATCAACGTGTCTGTTTGCTATATTTGTTGTCGGTGCATGTGTCGTTCTGGCAGAGGCGACCATTTTAAGAAGGAGTGAAACATCATTCAAGTTTCCGAGGATGGGTTTGCGCTGGGGAGATGTTAATTTTGAAGGAATTTGATGGGCAACTCACAAAAATACCAATATTCCATGGATGTGTGAAAAGATGAAAAAGAATTGTCATTATACAGACTTTCTGAAAATTGTTTTAAGTAAGAATTTCAATTATGCCAAAGTAAATGAAACTGGCATCGTCAACATTGGAGCTAAATGTTCCAGATTAATCTGATTTCCTTGACTTTCCCTCTGCAATGTTCGTACTATGAGATATATCTTATTTCATGAATCTAAGGAATGTACTAGCTACTTTAATACAAAATACTGTGAAAATTCCTTTGCATTGAACTGCAAAATCGAACAATGGACAAACTTTGTTTTGTAATCAAGCATCAAATCAATATCGAACGTACTCGTATGAAGATCTTCTGCATTTTGATTACCCATGACAGTTGAATCCTATTGTTTTTTAAAGTTATGTCAATTTTCTGGATCTACTAATGCAGTTATGCAGGGACTGGGGATGATGGTATATTATCTTTCATGAATGTAAAAATTAACTTGTCATTATACCATGAGTGCCAGATTCAATTTGTTTCGCTCCCAGCAATTTTTATGTCACAGGTGAAACGTTTAATACGAAAAAAGTTTATTCTTTCCATGCGTAATTACAATGTGTGACCATAATTATGATCCAAACAAAATAGAAATATAAAAATTGTTAATATCTCAAAGCACACTTTTTATGTTGTAAGCTATTACACTTGTAATCAATGCAGGGAATGGTAAGATGAAATTCAGTACGTCTAACTATAATAAAAATATACCAATAACATAACAGCTAGTGCGATTTTGGCTTCATAATGGTATCGTGCATAAGAGCCCCCTCACCAGCAAACAAGAGAAACACTGGGCCGACTGTCTAGTTCCCACAGTTCCGTGAGGTTAGAGCGAAAGTTTTGGGACGGGAAACATGCTTTTCCTTATCTACGCTGCAAGCTGACTTGTTTTTCAGGTATTTCCAGGGAATAGCAACTACCAGCCTGCTGTGATCGCGATTGATCTCTCTCAGCGTAGGAAGAAGACGCATTAACTTCAAGAAGACATCTCGGTGATTCTAAGGATGAAGAGATGCTGGAGGTCATCCAAAGCTAACGAACGCAGTTTCTAGATTTCTGATGTTATTGTTATAGGTTTTATTTCCACAGGGTAAACTTCTCATTAAAAAAATGCTATTCTTAAGGACGTTGTAAAAAGTACAATTTATTTAAAAACAATTTCAACACACCAAAGGAAATTAAAGTTATGGACAATTCATATTAAAATACAAATGTGAAAAAGAAAACAATAAAATCCAACATGGGTACATAAAACGCGATAAAAACAAATTGGACGTATAAATAATATGTTCCCAAGCTCTGTGCAATCTGTAATAAAAGAACTAAGGTGAAGTTTAAGTTCTTAAAAGGCGCAATTCCCTTAGCAACGGTAGCTTCTTTGGCGGCAATTGCACTTCGCTGGTTCACAAACGACTGTGACTTGCTCACTTTCTTAGGCTTGCGTTGCTACCAACAAATGAACACTCGAGACCAACGTGGCTCATTTCAACCTATGAGGGGGTGCTTCTGCTCAAGGCGGATTAGGATGGCCATCGCCAGGCAGATTTCTCTGGGGACAGATTTTTTTCCCCCGAAAGATCACTTATCACTAGGAAACTGGTAAACCAATAACGGCGGAAATTTGTGGATTTTCCTTAAAAAAGTGGATTTTCATCTTCCTTTTTCATTTGCCTGTTTTTCATCCCCCTTTCCCCCTGCGCAACGCACATAGGCCTACCTACAGGTATAGTCGTATTTTTAAATAATTACTTTAGTTTTCGAGTGCGTGCGATATTTTTGCAAGTCTTATTCTACTGCTTGACAATGCGCACACAATTTTTCTGCACCAAAGAGAAATAATTCTTGAAGTTTTCTTCTCTAGTGAAGAATTCCTCTAAAGCCAAAAATTAGCAAACGTGGATTTTTTTTATTGACTAAATGGACTTTATTAAACGCCATTAAAATGAAATTTTATGTCATCGATCGACAGAAGAGTACAAAATTTTACTTCCCTCGGACTGGACCTCCGGCCTCAATGGTCAAACACATATAACAGTATTCAACAGCTACATGAGGCTACTTAGACTTCTCATGTACTGAAACTTAGACTTTTCAAAGTTACTCCAAAGTGTACGCCACATGTGCTTGTGTCAATCACGTAGATGGTTTCAAATTTGAATTTGCTTGCACACACAACACTCCTCTTGGGGTGCAGTCTACTTATTCAAATGAGAAGATATGGCAGGCTCATTAGCCTTAAAAGTGCCCCCACTTTTGAAGAAGGAGATTGTTTGGCCTCCACAATGATGAGATTGTGTAAATCGTTGCCAGAATCAACTCCTTAGGTCTTTGGGCTTTCATATGAGAGCAGCTCAATGGCTAAATAGAAATACGGTTGAAAAATGGTCCTAAGTCCCCGAGAAAGAGTCTGTGGAATTCGGGGATGAGCTTCCTGAACTTCAAAAAGTTCTTGATGGCAGGATCGAAGTGGGTTACCAGTAGTGGAACAGCCTGACAACGATCATGACTTTAATCTGAACCTTGTCTTGTTCGTTGTAGTCCACTAGGTATTTGGACGACGGGTATTTGTATAAAAACTTCAGAATTAAACTAAGGAATCTGTCAGCGAACTCTAGTTCGTTGGATGAGATTTATTTGGCTATTGTCCGTCCGTCCGTCCGTCGTGATGTCGGTCTGTCCGTCCGTCCGTCCATCCAACCATCCATCCAACCAACTACCCATCCATCCAACCAACTACCCATCCATCCACCCACCTAAACAACTATCCATCCATCCATCCATCCATCCATCCATCCATCCATCCATCTATCCATCATTTCCCATTAGGAATAATTAATATACATTATTACGAACAATACAATAATTATGACATACAATTAGACAAGAAGACAGTAAGACACGTAACCACTAAGTCTTGTAACCCTGTAAGACACAAAAAGTAAATGATGTTAAATAAAACGTGAATACCCACTTCATAGTAAAGCGTTATACTTACCTTTGAATGTTTATAAGTTCCCTCGATTCTTTATAGAGGCGTCTAAGGAATTCCATAGCCTGGGGCCCTTATGCTTGACTGTATTTTGTGTAAGAGTAGTACGTGCAAAAGAATGATGAAGTTTCTTGTACTTTCTGGTGAAATAGAGGTGCACTTCTTCATTTTGATAAACATAGAACAAATGGATTTCGGTAATTTTTTAGTGTTGAACTGGTGCCTGACGATCCCAAGCTGAAGGAAATATATATAGTGTATCATTTATTTTGAGGAATTTTGTACAAATAAAACAGCGGACTGCTATGTTCAAGGTAAGTGGCAGAGTGGATTATTCTGAAAACTTTTTTTTTTGCAGTTTAAGTATTCTACTGGTTAAACTAACCCCACAATTACCCCAAGCTAATATCTCATATGATAGTTATGATACAATTAAAGTATCTTAAAGTTTAAAAATAATACATCCTGTGGGAGAAGCAGCTTTAGTTTACATATCACTCCAATATTTTTTTAAACAGTCGTGCAAATATTATTGATTTTTTCCATGAAAGATTCTGTTCAATATACAGACCTAAGAATTTGACACAAACGATTTTTATCAATTTGTACATCATCAATAAAGATTTCAGGTATTTCATGATGTTGCTTTTTACTAAACAGCATCTTAATATTAAGAGACTACCTAGTTGCTTTAAGCCAGTTTGAAATTTAGTAAGCTAGAGATTAACATTACGATAAAGGGTATTAATAGTAGGGTGACTATAGAATAGGTTACTGTCATCAGCAAATAAAATACCTTTAACAAATCAGATGATTTAAAAAAGGTATTTATGTAGATCAAAAATAAAAGTGACCCGAGAATGGGTCCTTGCGGAACTCCATGAGAAACTGTACCGACAGAGGAGTGAGTACCGTTAAAAGATACGAATTGTTGACGATTTGAAAGGTAACTCCTGAACCACTCCAAGGCGGTTCCTCTAATACCACAATAAGCAAGTTTGTTCAGAAGTAGTATTATGATTGACTGAATCAAAGGCCTCGGGGAAGTCCAGGAATAAACCAATTGTAATAGAGGATTCATCTAAATTATTATTTATTTTATCAAATAAGTTAATATTGCCATGTGAAGTTGAATGGTTTTCACTGAATCCAAATTGAGAGTCAGAAATTATGCCGTGTTCACCTACAAAGTCCATTATACGGTTGTGAAATATTCGTTCAAGAATTTTTGAAAAAGTAGTAAGAACCGAGATAGGCCTATAATTATTTACTTGACCAAGATTGTCACTTTTAAAAATAGGAGTGGCACGTGCAACTCTCATATCATTGGTACTACACCTGTCGATACAGACATGTTTCATAATAAAGGTTATTGGTTTAGAGATTGCCCGTATCACTTCCTTAACCGTTAACCAGTGAGTTACTAATTAAATCAAAGCCAGAGCTCTTTTTGTTTGGCAACGTATGTACATGTACAAGATCAGTTATTTTTTCCTCAATAACAGGACTTAAGAATATCAAATTAGGTTGAGGGTCCAGTAAATACTCAGAATAATTGAGATCATAAGAAGGAATTTGATTACAGAGACTTTACCAATATTTGTAGAACAAATCATTAAAATGATTAGTAATCATTTTTAGATTGCTGGTAGCAACACCTTCTGCATCACTAGTACTTATTTGCAGTTTAGAGTTAGTGTGGAGTATATTATTAATTATCTTCCAAGTATTTTTAATATTTGCTATTTCTTTGTCAAATTGTTCAATATAATAATTGCATTTAGAGGTTCGATTAGAACTCCTTAAAATGTTTTTATAGAGTATGTATTTAGTACGATTTGGATCTGTGGAGTCTCACATAAACCTGATAAAGCTTATTCGTATGCTTAATAGATTTACATATACTAACAGTGACCCAGGGCGATTTAGGAGTAGATTTGCTCGACCTGGATTGATTGCATTTATAAGGGATATACTTTTCAACGTGACTGTTAAATACATCCATGAACGTAGTAAATGCTAGATTAGAGTCTTCTTTATTAAAGAGTGAGGACCAGTCCTACGGATTTTGTCAAGTGCTTGTTTTAGGTTGGCTAAATTTTCGTGAGAATAATCGCGTACGGAAGTGACGCGTAGACTAGGACGACTGTTGGATATACAGGAATTTTATACAGGAATTTTCATTCAGCCAGGCCTCACACAATCCGATGACAGCGAAATCATAATTAAGTGAATATAAAACATTTTTAAGTGGTCTATGTTTTGAGGTAAACTACGTATATTTAAAGAAAGAAGTGAAAACTTAGCTGTAAGGACTTGATTTAAAAAGTCCACAAATTTATCACATGAATAGTAACTAGAATGATTTACAATTTGATAAGCATTATCAGGATCACCGACAAGGGGCAGTTCAAGAGAGTTAAGATAGGGAGTAATTCAATTTTCTACGTTAGTAAATTGACGAATTTGTGGGCCCAAGACTAAATTCGCAGCCGCAAATTCCCCAGAATGCAAGGAATTAAAAGGACAAATATTAGATAGGGCAAAAGCAACTATCATCACTATATGTTAACTTATCAACAGGATCAAGGTAAGGTTGGTACATTTAAGGTGGGTCTACAATTTACAGGAATCACAGAAAATTCAATTTTGGCTTGTTCTTACAGGGTTACAACATACACTACATGGACACTTAACATATGCAGGCATTAATGACAGAACAATTTATACACATATACAAACACCAATAACAAATACCCTAACAGGACTGGATGTGAATAACCATAACAGGATAGGCCTAAGTATTAAAAATGGGAAAACATTTTACACATGTACTAGCGGGTCAAGTAAAGAAAGCAACAGAAAAAGTAAGAAAGAAAGAACTTACTAAAGTCCTATCGGACGGAAAAAAATCATCACCACATGATCATGGCATGGTTAATCCAAGCTACGATTTACATATATGTATTGGGCTATTCGCCGGTATTCATGGGGGAGGGACGTGTTTCACACTATTAATGTACAGGTTGACTTGCTTGAAGATGGCTCGCTTTCCAGCTTCGTGGGCCCGCTTCATGATGTCACGGAGAAATCTTTTGGTCCTGACATCTTCCGACGGTAGATCTCGCATGACAAAGATTCCTGTGTTTTCGCCAGGGTTGCCTTGGCGCGGGACCAGACAGATTTTAGTTCTGGACGATAGATAAACCTATAGCCACGATATGTCTCGGTCTGTCGGTGGAGGAATCAGGCTTACAACCAGTTCTGTGAGCATTTTCAATTTCGACGTCGGGCATTCCGAATTTGTCAGCGAGAATATTTTTCACTTCATTATAGGGATAATCAGGATCTTCGGATCTGGTTTCGGGGATACCGCCAAATCGGAGATTTTAACTGCGGGAATGCCATTCCAACAGGGTAGCTTCCTTTAATTTTGTGACATTCATCTTCGCCATTTGCAATTCAACGGTCATCTTGGAGATTCTATCTATCAAGGATTCATTCTTCGCCCGTAGTTCTTCCATAGATTTGGAAGAGGAGACCAGAGATTCCTCCCTTTCCCTCGGTTTGTTCTCAGTACCAGTTATTCTGTTTAAGAGTGTTTCTTGGTTGGCGATTGTTTTGTCAAGCTTACTATTTAGATCGCTTGCCAGCCCTCTGATTTCTCGTCGTAGCGCTGCGATGGCGTTTGACTCGCGCACTGGTGATTGGTAGGACGGATCACGTGATGATCGTGGCGCGGTGCCCGGATCCTCTGGATCTGCTGGACTTGTAGCCAAAGGTTTCCTATTCTTTTAGAGGCATTTTTCTAATGGAAATTCATAACTTTATAGCTGCGTACAGTACTGGAAGAGTAGAACGTGACAGATCTCATACTGTTTATCGATCAGAGGGCCGACACTGAGAGATTTATTTTCAGGTGATTTTAGGTGGTTTTGTAGAGACCTCGCATAACACGTCCGTCATCACCCCATTCTGTTCACTTGTTGCATTGCAATGATTGCATACATGTACATATACATTTAACTTTCTGGGCTCAAGTAAAATCATTCCATGGTACTTGTAGTTACCAAACTTCCCATTAGGCTTAAGTAGGGGGAAGTCATTCCAGAACAGCGTATAAAACATTGTCGATGCCATATTCAAGAGATGACCACGTGTCCGATGAAGCTGTAGACCCATCTTTTCAAGAACGCTACAAGTGATCTATCAATATCCCATAAATCTTAATTAACAGAAGAAGTTCTTTCCCAATGGAGAAAAAAAATCATGTGCCGACGGATGAGTCGAAAACCTTAGGGGTGCATGCCACCATATCGTTGGATTTCTACGCGTGAGCTCATTAATATTTTGTGATCCCACTGGGTTTTTACATTAAAACATGTCACAGTCAGAAGGGATCATAGAAATATATAGCTCCGATACAGCAATGCTAGAGAAGCTTAAAGAATCCAGGAAATGAATTTTTCTTAGAATCACTTTTTGTGTATCTCTGTGCTCTTCTTCCATGTATTAAGACTGCCTTCTTTTTTGAGTTACGTGAACTGAACGGTGCACTTTTTCAAACCTTAAAAAATGACCAAGCATTTCTGGATGAATGAGGGCGCTTTTGCTTTGATGTAAATCCAGGAAGACATGGTTCAGGTTGCATGTTTTCATCATTGTAAACCCCTTTGCTATCTGGGAACATTTCTGTGAAAAAGATATTTGCTGGATTATTGCCATATACTTACACAGCAATAAATTGCCAAAGAAAATGAAATCTGCCATAGCAGTGGTTAAAAAAATCTGGAAATTTTCTGTGCACAAATCAGTGCAAAATTGAGATGCAGCGCCTTGGATGACATCATAGTTCTGCTCATGAATATGCAAATTGCTTTAGCATAAAAGCCAAAAAAGCATCAAAATATGGGTTAGATTTGCAAAACAAAAATTTAAAATCAGGTTAATTGAAACCCAAAGATGCAATTTCAAGGAGTTTTAGTAAAGTTTATAAAGATATTTCTATTTCCTGGTTCCTTTAAACTTCCCTCCTCGGTACAGCAAAGAAGGCGGCGGCAGTTTAGCCATGTTGCACAAAATCTTTCATCACAGTGTTGACCTGGACAGATTTCCTTGATACGGCAAGAACCTCCATCATCTCGCATACGGATGAACACTCACTAGGAGCTGCAAGACAAATCAACTTGCCATCCCACAGTCTGTGTAACTATCCCATCTTCGTTCATTCTTTCCTACAAGATGGCAAGAGATTGGAATAAGTTGCCAAAACACAGGACTTCTATGGAGAAGTTATCTAGCTTCAAAACAGCACTGCAAAAACATCTACAGCTGGAATGAACAACTCCCCAGTTCTGTTCTGAGTGATGCTCATTTAGAGTTTTCAGAGTATTCATCCAGATCCAGATTTAAAACTTTCGAACCAGTTTCACCGCACTGGCAATAATTCATCACGATCACGTCATACCGTATCCCGTGTCCCAACTTCCGATTCAACTTTCCATATTTGGCATTGGTGTCCTGCGCAGGCGCAAAAGGTAATCAAGTATGCGAGGTGTCATGGCGGATTGAGGAGATAAAAATACGCAGCGTGTGTTGCGGCCGTCATCGTACCGATTTCTGTAACTCATTTCCCACCCGTTATGGCAGCTCAGAGACCCATCGAATGGGTGTCACAGCTGATCACAAGATTTGAGGAACAGGTAAGGGGAGTTGTCGTGCCCTTTTGATATAAAGACATGGTTTGGTCAAGACTTATTTTTGATGCATTTTTGTGATCGGTAGGTCTGCGTGTACGTACATGTACACGTACTGCAGGCCTAGTGCCTACATGTACTGTAGTTCATACGACCACTACACACACACGGCCCTAGCGTGGATAACTATTGGTGCCCTCCTTTCTTGTTCACTGATAGCGTTCTTGAAATTTACGGTCTGTGTCCTCACGATGTGATAGGTCATGTAAAGAGGTTTTTAAACATGTTCAATCTCCTCCTTTTGTCAATAATAAGTCAAGTGTCATGTCTGTCAACTTCTGAACTTGACTACATCAGGTAGGAAATCCAGTGAAACAGCACCTCCAAATTTTATATCTGAAAGTGTGTGAACGTGTTTGTATTCAATCAATGATTTCTGCTCCTTTTGTGCATCAAGTTCTATATTTTAAAAAGCAGGAGTGTTGTAAAAAGAACCAAAATTTGTGTTAGTACCATTTAAATATGTCCATTTGCATCGATTTGTGGGCGTAAAGTACATGTATTATGAAAATAATATAAGATGGGAGCCACTTACCATACCACTACATCAACAACTGTGTGCAGCCATCTTTGTTTGTTGTCGTGTGACATACCGTAGTGTCGTCTAAGCACAAAATCTCGCAAGAATCAACCGGGTGTGCCGGGTTTGGAATGATGATGATGGTCATTATCTTGTAGAACTAAAAATACTCTTACTTGATGTATGATTCGAAACATTTGACTGAAGCACCGTCAAGCCTTTTTTTGTTTGTGAAGACTATAAAAAGGTAAAAAAAAGTGCACTTTTCTGTTAAAAATTCCCCAAAACATGCATATTAAGGAGTTGATGAAACATATACGAAACGGTGTTTATTTGGAAGCTTGGAATTTCAGGAAGAAAGGGAAGTTGTTTTTTTATCAAAAATTGATGTCAGACTTGTGCCGAACAGCCCTTTTGTATTTGGGTGCTGTCGTGCAACTGTGCACATAATGGTGTATGTATCTACATCAGATTGGTGCATGGTGCAAGGGGAGAAAGATGCAAATAACAAGCGCATTTACCACACATTTTGCTTCAGTCAAAGTTTATCAAAAAACCCTACCAAACATGAAGGTGTCTGGTCAACTCGACGGTTTGCCAATTCGACTCGAGTTAACTCGACTCTTAACCAACTCGACCATCAACCAACTTGACCGTTGTTCCTTCAACTGTAAAGGTCAACTGGACTCGACTCTCGACCAACTTGACCGTGCAAACGGTGCAACAGGGACAGGGCATAGAAGGAACGCATTTTTCCTAATTCTGGATCACGCGTGTAATTTGTTTTACTGTGTGTGATCTGTGCATGTGCACAGTGTGATGACAGACTTCCGGGGTTCGTGCGTGCTTCTTAAATTATTTTGAAGTATCTCATTGGCACAAGTTCAATTATTGATTGCATTTCAGTCAATTTCATGGGTTCATTGAGTTGGTAAATGGTCAAGTTGACTCGACTTTGAAGTCGAGTTGGTCAACAGAAGAGTTGGTTCAGCGGTCGAGTTGGTCGACGGTCGAGTTGGTCAGAAGTTTACTCAAGTCAAGTTGGTAAATGGTCGAGTTGACCTACAACTAACATGAACAGACTTACAGTAACTATGACACCTGACAGACTTGGTCCCCTATTTTTATAGCTTTTTATTGTTGACAAAATATCGCATCAAAACTATGCTTCAGTGATCTTTCACACATCACTAAAAGTTTCAAACCCAACTCAACTGTCCTGTTGCTGTATACATGTACATGTATCCTGTGTTCATTATTGATAAAGTTCTCCATTATAAAACATATTGTTTAGTTTACACTTCCTCTTTGACTTAACTACAGATCTTTTTCCAACTCTGGCATGTCTGGTAGTGGAACCGAAGAGGAACAAGTCTCCATGTGGCTTAAATACATTGATGAAAATAAAACTTGTGTCCACCCCCAAAAAATGACAGACTAATTACACCTATTTTTAATAACGAAAAAATTTCCTAAACTCACTGACATGGCTTGGGCAAAAAACACTGGCAAAACCTGGACATGAAGCGATTTGTCACACTGAGACTTTTCATCTGGTTCCATGGTACAGTGTCGCCGATGTAATAGGAGGGGGCCCTCCCCTAAGTAGTTTTTATTATTACTTTTTTCATTCTGAAAAACGTAGAGACGGTATTCACCATGTCTTAAAGTACATTGTGTACTCTCTAAGATACAGCTGTACATGTACATCCCAGCCCCAGTCTGAGCCCCTCTCCAAACAAATCCTGGGTGCGGTACTGCTTATGTTAGGTGCATTTGGATTTTGGTCCATCTTTGCAATCACTCGATCTTTGCACGATTTGTCATTTGTATTACATGATTCGCCAATAAATCTGCCTTCAGAACCATTTCTTTCTAATTCACAGTTGTGGAAGATAGTTTTATAAAGCAGTAATTGTTAATAGTTCAAAACGTTAATGTGGTCTGTCCACTAGCCCTGCACTTTATTAGTTGCACAGAAACTGTCAATGGGAATGTGGAATTTAAAATGTTAACCCTCCTATGCTGAAGTCACTCTTTGGGTCACTTGGTGAACACCTCAAAGAAGCACAGCTGTGTTGTGCACTGCACCAACTGTCCCTCACAAGAATATCAGATTGCACTTTTGTGCTGCACAATAACTGTGCTTCACTGTTTCGTGTGCATAATTGTGCAGTAAACCAAATGCAGTGAAGAGGACTGCACAAAAGGTCATTTTGTGCTGGCAACCAACTGTGTACCCACTGAACCTGTGCATGTTTGTGTTTCTGTTCACTTCAGATTAGCCATACTTGTTGACAACAGGCAACATCTTAGATAAATGCGTGTTGCAGATATCGTGACTATGAACATTTCTATGTTTCCTCTTTCAGTTACCATTTCGTCTAAATGGCCAGTCAGGTCAGGCCCATGCTGATTTGGAGAGGAGCAAACAGTGCCTCATCAGTGTCAGTAAGAAGCTCTTCTCACAGGTCATCAATGGGCTGGCTAAGATACTCAACAATCTCAGCCCATCTTCCATGGTAACAATCAAAGCAGACAGTGTATATGTACATGTAGAGCTTAAATCCATGGGCGTGTGCTGTGGGGAACATTGCTCTTCGGTTGTTCCTTGATTGGCAGGAAACCAGCCACTGGCAGTATATATCACATAACGCTTTGGTTGGTGTCCTTTTACTGTTGAAGGAGCCCTTGCTGTGCCAGGTAGCTCCATGGAGTTGTGTTCTGATGGTTCAATGACAGTCAAGATTGCATTTAAACACTCTTGTTGCAGATGCTATTGATACTGTTAGATATTGGAAACAGTGTTTTCAAGATGTATTTTTTGCGTTGGGGAGATGTTAATTATATATAATACATATATATAAAAAAATACATCTTGAAAATAGTTTGCGGTACCCGCTGCTTCATTTGACTCGGACCGGCCAGCCGACCTCGGCAAGCTC